CATCTTGAACCTGAATCTCCTCAGAGAGCGGTTCAGATATCTGAGATCTATGATCGGACGCAACCCCCCATCTTTTTTGGGAACTATAAAGTAGCGGCTGTAAAACCCGGACTCCCTGTCTAGTGGAGGAATATGCTCTATGGCCCCCTTTGCCAGCAGGGAGTTTACTTCCTGTTCCAATACCCGACCCTGCGTCGGGTTGACTACAGTCCAGACCACCCCGTTGAATCTGGGTGGGTGGAACCCGAACTGCAGCCTGTACCCGTATTGTATCGTGCGCAGCGCCCACGGGGAAATATTCGCTAGATTTTTCCATGCATCGAAATATTTCGCCAAGGGAACCAGGCTCTCGAGCCTGGTTTCGGGTATTAATCGGGATTCGTTCTCGACCGCCTGAAACGAATCTCCGGCAGGACTGGACCGAAAACGATTCTCGATGGGCGAACGCAATCGCTGCCCGTCCGCAGGCTCGTGGGGCGGACAAAGCAGCTTGCGATCGCTGGAAACCGATGCGTCCCGAAACGTACTTGACGGCGGGAGAACAACATCGATTTCCTGCGGGCTCCGCGAGGGAGACGACCTCAGTCGCTCCATCACGGGTGGGGCCGCCCGCAGAGATCCTAGCACTGCTAGGACCTCTTAGATGTTTTCTTAGCCTGCAGGACGGCCCTCAGGTCGCCCTGCTTGGCTTGCGGCTTAGATTGAGAGCGCCGTCTATGCCCCCAAGCTCCTTGAGGGGGGGCTCTAGACGCGACGCTCTCTCTCTGAACCTGCCTGTAGGTGGAGGAGCTGGTAGCTGGCTGAGGCTGCGACTGCCCACTGGGGGCAGACTTCCGGATACTGAGCGACGAGGGAGAAATTGTTTGAAGGCCGCTGATTGATTTTTCGCCTCCTGAAACCTGTCGACAACGGTATTAACAGCGTCGCCGAACAGGCCAGAAGGCGAAATCGGGGCATCAAGGAGGAAAGCCCTGTCTTTCTCCCTGATGCCCGTCAGATTTAACCATAAATGTCTCTCCGAGACCACCATTGCCGCCATGGAGCGACCGACAGCGCGGGCCGTCTCTTTGGTGACTCGGAGAGACAAATCAGCGACCTTCCTCAACTCCGCCACATCCTCCGGAGTTGGTCCCTCGCCCTCATCAATATCCTTAAGAAGGTCGGCCTGGTACGCTTGGAGAAGCGCCATGGTGTGAAGACTCGCACCAGCCCGACCCGCAGCCATATATGCCCTGCCCACCAGTGAAGATGTTTCTCTGCATGGCTTGGTGGGCAGCACCGGGGCTTTAAAGGATGATGCCGACTCAGGTGATAAATAATTAGCCAAAGGCTGTTCAACCCGCGGCATCATCCCATAACCATTCTCTCGTGCCCCCATGATATTACTATATTTTAATATAGTGGGATTGGAAACACGAGAAGAATGGGGTTTCTTCCACGATTTACACACCTCAGTATGCAAATCGGGAAAAAACGGTAAGCCCGATGATGAGGTTGTTCCCTGTGCTGCAGGAAGCGCTCATCTAATTTGCTTTTAACTTGCACTTCCTGCTTTTCTTGTGGCCAATCGATCTTTAAATGAGCCACTGCACGGGAAACAACCTCTACCAGCTCCTCATATGCGGGGACACGGGGTGGCGAGTCATCCCCGAAGTCCCCGCCCCCTTCGATGCTGAGCACGTCCACCTCCTCGGAAGCAGACAGCTCAAGCATCGGATCCTCGACTCGCACAGAAGAAGCCGCCGAGCGGGCTTCTGCGCGAGGCTCGAGGGCATCGGAACTGTCCGATGAATCCCGAGAAGGTGCCTCAGCAGCCTCGGGATCCCCAGACAGATCCATTTGCGAGCCCCATGAAGAGCGTCGCCGCGCCGCCTCGGCGGACGCGGGTCCCGCACCATGGGGCTCACGAGGCTGACCCTCTTCATTGAAAAGGGCCAGCCGGGAACGCAGCACGCGGAGCGGTAAAGCCTCACAATGCTCGCAAGCAGCTCCCTCGAGAGCTGCCTGCGCGTGCTGCATTCCCAGACAATGTGTACACAGTTGGTGTGTGTCCCCGCCCGTGATGTAGCGAGGGCAAGGGTGCACACACCGCCTGAAATTCACACTCGCCATTATTTAGATTTTAGGGAGATATGCTTAGACAGACAAACAATAAATAAGACTGACAGTCACAGAGAGCGCTTAGCTGAAGAACAGAAAGCTGACATGTTGTGTGTGCCGGTTCCTTATATATGCTTCCGCCTATGTGTCGTCACACATCACGTCATCACGTTGATCCAATCGGAGATTGGCTTAGTTTCATTCATGCTTCAGAGACGCTACGCTGAGGGGCGTTCCCCCCAAAGTGTCACTTGGACGCAGTTTGAGTTCCCTCGATAGGGAACCCGCTTATCTAACAGTAGTTCCCCATTACATTAATTAATTTTCACACGTGTTTTATTTATTTTTATACTGTGTATTCTCTGTGTAAATTCGTGCACCGAACCGTGACGCCCATTCCGTTTCGGTTCAATACGAATACACGTACCGTTCCACCCCTACCTTAAACAGGTAGAAGCACCGAGAGGCCCGGCTCTATCGGCTTGCTGCACCCTACTGTGCAACCTTATTGCTCCAGAGTGAAAAACCTGTCGAGTCCTCAAAAACCTTTCGGCCCAGACATGTCGGAATGTCCGGCACAAGGCCCTTATCCGCTGAATCCTTGAGAGCCGGATCTGGGCTGGGCTCCATATGCGTGACCCTACGTGGATCCCTTATGTGTATTTTTCCACAGCTGCTCCTGACGGAAGCCTGTGTCTTTCCCTTGGGCTAAGTCACTGTTATTTATATGCAGTACAACCTTCGAGTTAGTCCATATGTATTTTCCACATAAATCTTTGAAGAAGTGGCTTCCACAGACTTCCTAAATAGAAGGGCACACTTCCCAGTGTTATCCAATGTCTCACTGTATTTGTTATCACGGAACAACGGTTTAAGACTCACTCTGTGTAAGCCTCCTCCTATCGTCCTTCCAAGCAAGAAGATGTAGAGGCTTGCATGGGGCACTGGATGGGGTGCAGCGGCTGTGGCGCTTTGGTTGGGATTCCTCTTGGTCAGTTATGACCTACGTTGTAGTGACTGACAGATAGGGAACGTCTCAGTTATGGTATATCGTAACCCTCGTTCCCTGAAGGAGGGAACGGAGACGTAGGTCCCATCACCACATCTGATGTCACTCGCCGAGGCAGCCAAAAAACTGAAGTGCAATTGCAGCAGCTGCTTTTTATATACCTGCCCTAACGAGGCTGCGCAGCTGATGCAAATGGTTGTACGCCAATGTGTATTGGCTTGTTTTAGTTTCACTCGAAGTAGATTGGCCTCACTAGCGAGATTCCTATTGGTCAGTCATGAGCTTCGTCTCCTTTTCCTCCCTTAGGCTATGTTTACACGGAAACGATTCTGAAGAGTAAACGCAAAAGTGGCATTGCGTCATCACTTTTTATTCTGCGTTTAGATGAGCGTTTTGTGTGGGAAATCCGTGTGCAAACGGTGACGCAAAAGTGTGTGAAATTCAATGTAGTATACACTTCAGGCGGCTAGGGGTGCATACTACAGCAACACCAACTCCACGCGCCTGCATACAAACAGTCAAGCAGACTTTTGCGTTTTTACCGTTTACACTGGAACGCGGCGGCGCAACGTGGTTTCACTTTTTTGCGTTTTTAAGCCTCAAAAACGCCGTCGCCGTGTAAACGAAAGGCACATCCGATACAATATTTTTACGTTTTCACCCGCGAGCGTTCTCGTGTAAACAGGGCCTTAGAGAACGAGGGTTACCATATGTAACCGAGACATTTTCTGTGTTGAGACAAATCTTGTGCAATGTCTTAAACTGCCTGGATAATCACACAACGTGTGCTGTGGTTCGTAAATGAATGACTCTTTTGGACTGATTCACATTAATGAATGGTTAAAACTGAACTCAAGAGAGATAAATCGGAAACATTTACAATAAGGTCTAGTTAACTACATTAGTTAACATTCTATTAATATTAGTTTCTATGCGGATTTACTCCATGCCAAAACCACTCCAGTCATTCTAGAATGACTCATTCTTTCCAAATAGAGCTTCAAGTCATCTGGTGAAATTATTTGTATGTCGCAATATATATTGCAGAAAACTAAAATATCGCAATGTCATTTTTTTTTTTACCATTTTTTATCGTGTAGCCCCAATTCTCGCAATACGTTTTCTACACAGACATACTTGCCAAAACAGCAATATTAATATTGGTTATTGGTATCGGCCACAATTTTCACATCGGTGCATCACTGATGATAACCATTCTCCTACATTGGTTCTGTATTTGTTTTAAACTGCAGACTTAATATTCATCCATTTATGGTCATAGTTTGGAGACAATGAGCATATGAACCATGCTGCTTATACAGTATTTATCATGCAGTAAAAATCCCCCTCCCTGCACCCAAAAATAATCATCTAGGGATGAGAATACGAAACAAGGACTGGTGGGACATTGTCCTGCTCCACTTCACAGACGCTGGGGAGTGAAAGGAGAATTTTAGAATGACGGGACACTCATTTGTGACACCTTATTCAACAAGATGAACAGCTCGTTCTGTGCATCATACAGTACGTCATTACGCTATTTCTATGTCATTACTCACGCGCAGTCCTTTCAGTTTTCAATCCGATCAAATGTTTGCATGTTCTCTCGATTAGATTAGAAGAAGAATAAAGCACTCCTTTCAATAATTAAAAAAAATCAGTCGGATCGAGCTCAATCAGATCGATTAAGTTGTTTACATTAGTAATCGGATTGACAGGATTATTTGGTTGCATGTAAACGTAGCCACTGTAAGCCACATTTTTAAGGAGGGAAAAGTAGGGATAAATTGGTCAACAAAACAATGTCACAAAGTGGTCAACTGATCTTAACTTGTGTTGAACATGTAACATTACTTTATGTTCTTAGTTATAAGAACATAAAGAGTTTCACCTGTGCAAAGTTAAGGAAAAAGAGTTGCTCATGATTGAGATCAATTCCAGGCAGAGGAGCTTCTTTTCCATGTTTTTTCACAAAGTTCTGGTAAGCCTGAAAAAGTGATAACACAGTGATACTGTTAAATTTGGGAAGCAGTCACTGGAAACATGTTTCTTATAGTGTAAACCATATTTGATGGTTCAGTAAGACCTAGTATTAAATACAATGAATTGTAGTCCATGAGCCATTTCCTCCCCCTTCGGGTTCTCTAAGAGTCTAAACTATTAAGCTGATTTCCTCTGTCATCACAGTCTAACTGAAATCCATCCACAGCGGAACAAACTGAGAACCTGTCACCATGCACATAAGAATCTATCATCATGTTTTTATTAACCTTTTTAACCATGAATTTTGCAAGTCAGAAAGTGTATTAAACTAAATCTATTTTCTGTAAGTACAAATGGATGTCAAAAGAACTGCAGTAAAGGCCAAGATGCCCTGTCCTTACTTGATAAGACTGGCGAATGCCCCCGTTGTCAGCAATGTTCTCCCCAAGGGTATTATTCCCATTTAGCTGTTCACACAAAGGATAGAAGAGAGAGAAAAGAAGGGGGTGGAAAATCAAACTGTAATTTAGATATCCTTCTATATGTCTAGAAAATTGCAGCCTATTCTAGTTCCAGGAAAACTATGTGTGTATAATAAGGTCCAAATTGATGTTGTCAGAAATGCACAGACAGCTATAAATAACCCATGATAGAGGCTAAAACTCTTATTTGCCACATATGGTAAAAGGCTCAGCACAGTAGGGTAGATAGAACTGTAGTATTTTGGTAATATTTGTTAAGTTTTGTTGGATTGCACATGAATCAGTCTGAAGACATTTGATGGAATACATTTTGTCGATTCGCCAAATCCCAAGAGAAGCTTCCATACTGGTCAACAATGCATTTGGAAAGCTCATGGAATTTCTGAGTCGAAGATGGAGTCCACCAGTCTTTGAGGTCACCATCTTTATCAAAATTGCGCCCTGAACAAGAAATGAAATGCATGGAGATTAAACTTACAACAGCATTAAATGAAGAAGTATAAAGGAAGATCTGTTTCTAGTCTGATACCATTGTCATCAAAGCCATGAGTGATCTCATGTCCAATGACCATCCCGATGCCTCCATAGTTCAGAGACCAGGGCTGACCTTTACCAAAAAATGGTGGTTGAAGAATACCTGCAGGAAATACTGAGAGAAAGTAGAAAATGTATTAATAATTAAATAATTGATCAGACATACCTGATTTGTTTTGTTCAATTACAGCTACTTTTTGTAAAAATGTTACAAGTACCTATTTGGTTTCTGCTAGATGAGTAGAATGCATTGACCACAGCAGCTCCTGTTATCCATCTTGAATTAAAGATGCATATCACTTTAATATTTGATGACAGATCTTTATTCATTAGGGTTTTATAGCAGTTACTAAACTAAAAAAATGACAGCTATTTTAGAACTATTTTGGGGGACATTATGGAAAGAGGTCTTACTCTTCTTTGTTCACTTTGACTCTCAGTTTCTTCAGGCGTTTCTTCTGACCAAACTCCAAGTTCTTCAGGATGTTCTCGAAGTATTCTTCTGCATTATAGCTTAACTAATAAAATGAAGACAACAGCACGGTCTTAAATGGTTGAAATATAGGGTGCCTAAACCTACTCCTGGAGGCCAACTGCCCAGCAGAGTTTATCTCTAACTTGCCTCAAACCACCTGCTTGGAAGTTTCTAGTATGCCTAAGGACAAAACTCTTGTAAAGAATTTCGGCTTAAGGCTTATAGCTCAATTTGAATTTCGGGAAAAAATATTCATAATTAATGATCTTGATCAACAATTTATTGAATGTTTCTTAAACCGAGTTCTTACATAAATAAATCACCCAACGAGGGGTTCTACACCACACACGTCTGCTTCGGGCATATATAGACAATTAAACACAACAAATTATGATTAACTTAGAATATATATGTATGCCGTTCAGACAAATGGGTGTTTGAGCTCAAAAAAAAATACCAAAGGGATTAACAAAGCTTTCTCAGTCAGCGCACCCACATGCTGATCGGTAAAACTATCACTCACTTGGTTTGTTTCAACCTAATGGTCCATGTACGTTTTGATAGTTTGTTTTTTCGTTTGAAACAAAGAGCAAAATAACGAGAAACCACCCTTTTTTCGTTTGTCGTTTCAAACCAAAAACAAAGAAACCGTAAAAAAAGAGCCGTTTTCCCGTTTTTGGTTCTGAATCCAAAAACGAAAAAAGAAAATCAAATAACGGTACGATTTTGTTTTTTTGATATTCCTTTTTCCATTTTTCCATTTGAAGATCTACATTAAAACAAGGACAGGTTGGCCACGTGACCCGGAAGTAAATATGGCCTATCAAAATAAAAGCCAATAAGCTTTTAGAACCGTCATAATATGCAGCACTAACGTTATACCAGAGTCACGTTAGAAGAAGAAAAATCAATGAATAAATTGAAACCTGGACCGGAATAAATGTTAGCAACAGTAGTTTATTTCAGCTATTTAATATCATGCCTATCCAGACATCACCAGTCATGTTTAATGAGTGCATTGTTTGGCTCAATACAGTTGGTAGGTTAACCTAAGAACTTATTGTGTGTGCAGAGTTGTTACTGTTAGCGCTATCTTATATAATTATATTTAATGTGGTTTCCACCGTAATGGACCGCTCTTTCCCCTTTCTACCAGCAGGTGGCAGTATTTAAATGACTGACTGTATGGTGTCTTTGGTAACTGTTTTAAATCGAGATTTTATTTGCCTAGTTATCACCATCATCATCATTCATCCAGCCCAGAGTTAAACCTGCCTCTGTTTTAACTATGATTCTAACACTGCTATCAGCTTCTTAGCAGCTCAGACAACAAACTCACATCAGAAATGTCCTAATGTAGGCCATCTGGCCAAAAGAATGATTTACCAGTGTGCTGTGTGAATCTTTCTTCTCTATACACATTCCAGTGTGTATAAAATACAAAACTCTGACAGTGTCATGCAAGTGAAGAGAATCCATACAAGTCTTAAAACTTTATATAGCACATTCATGCTTTCAAAGGCATTGGATGTACAATCAATGGCTGCAGAATATTTGTTAAGCCCTAAGGTAAGAAGATTTTACAAGGTCCTCAAAAGAAATTCCAAAAACATAATTACATTACAAAAAACAGGCTGTCAACACTGATTACATCTGCAATAACGGCAACAAAATGTTTCCAGTAACTTTTGAACAGTCCTGTCCATACTTTGAATGTTCTTACTTATGATCACACTTGCAGCACTGTCTTTATATTTCAATGAAAGCTTAAATATTAACATAAAAATGTTTTAGAATGGAATAAAATTAAAAAAAATGAGAATGTGTCTGTACACATAGCCTGTGTTTCTTAATCAGCATAATAATTAAACTTCTGTTTGCTTACAGTCCCTCTGACTGCAGCTCAGTATATCATTTGGACTGTGCAACGACAGATATCACAATAGATGATGGAGAAGTGAACTGTGCATCACTACGCTGCATGAACTTTATCTGAAAAAAGTAGGCTATTTTAAAGTAGAATTCCATAAATTATATTCAATAAATATTATCAAAACTTTAGGTGTTCTCAAGTGGTCTTGTATCAAATAATGATGGCAGTTGTTAAGTAGGTTATTCTGCTCTTTACCAATATGCCTAGTAATTGCTGACAACATCTGGCCTTTATAATCAATCTGGAATGTAAACAAAACATTTCAAGGTACACATTTCAAATGTAAACAAAACATTTCAAGGTACACATTTCAAAGAAGACTATTATACAATGAATATGAGGTGCTAGAAAAACAAAATTCTTCAGGTGGTAGGCCTATTCAATGATAGTCCCACCATGGACCCAAACTTTTCTGTAGATTTTTCCATAGACAGCTTTTCAAAGCTGCCTCAGTATAATAGCCTACCGCTGTCACGCAATCTGTTCTTCGGAGAAATGCGTTCGCACCCATGGTCGCGCCATTTACGCTTAAACATAGCTATATTGCGCGTCTATGTCAGCTTAAACGCGAATGCATGTTTAAAATACATAAATGTAAAGAATGATTTTCATGACAACTAAATATTTTCGCTTTGGTATATTACGGAATCCTCTGTGCAAAACAACACTATTTAATTATTATTTACCGCATAACTACCGCATTTAACATTATCTGATACGGTCAGGAATTTGTGTCAATTTTAAAATATATATTTTTTAATGTTATTATTGCTTATTAAACCATGATTGATTTAACCTAAGCCGAGTCATTTCCAGAAGTGGTCTAGATCATACAGCCGGAACCGGTTTTTATGGTGAACATGAATCGGCCCAGTGTTTTACAGCCGTAACAAAAATGCATGTTCCAGAGCGAGCTGCGGGCCACAATCGACCCGGTTAACACGTAGCCGCAGACGCCGCGGGGCAGCCGAGCTCGGGCTGATTGTTCATGCTAGCTGGGACACGAAGTTGCAGGCTCAAGGTGTAGTGCACTTGGTGTCGGCAGACTTAAAAAAAACAAAAAAACATAACAAAATATATATTTTTTTAAATCCACCAGATTCTTGTTCTAAATATCACAAACTACCACTGCGGTGATTTTCATGTTGATCTACTGTTTTTTGAGGCTATTTAATAATTGCCAAATCATGACCATACTGTATGGCTACATGATCAAATGCCAAACATGAGGAGAAAGAGCTTATTTTGGTGAGTAGGCTAATGCCTTAAGCTGCAGTGCTAAGAAACATGATTTGTGAAAGCACAGTTATAATGGAAAGTTTTTATTACAGAACATAAATCAACATCTCCATGACAGTAGCTCGCACACAGCAGACACAGTGTGACACCTACTGGTATGTTTTTGTAATCGTTTTGAACTGCCCTAGGTTTTAAACTTCGTTGGATTATTAGTGGACTTAGAACCTTCACATATGTCGTTTTAGTTTATTACCTAACTAGCCTGTTCAATACATTTCTATTAACACGGTATAAGTGACGCTGTCCATTACGGTGGAAACCACATTAAATATAAATTTAATTATATAATGTAGTAGCGCTAACAGCAACACATAATAAGTTCTTAGGTTAACCTATATTGCCAACTGTATTGAGCCAAACAATGCGCTCATTAAACGTGACTAGTGATGTCTGGATAGGCATGATATTAAATAGCTGTAATAAACTACTGTTGCAAACATATTTATTCCGGTCCAGGTTTCTATTTATTCATTGATTTTTCTTCTTCTGATGTTACTCTGGTATAACGTTAGTGCTGCATATTATAACCGTTCTAAAAGCTTGGCTTTTATTTTGATAGGCCATATTTACTATTACATCCGGGTCACGTGGCCAAGCTGTCCTTGTTTTAATGTAGATCTTCAAACGGAAAAATGGAAAAGGGAATTTCAAAAAACCAAAATCGGACCGTTATTTGATTTTTGGATTCAGAACCAAAAACGGGAAAACGGATCTTTATTTACGGTTTCTTTGTTTTTGGTTTGAAACAACAAACGAAAAATGGTTTCTCGTTATTTTGTTTTTGTTTTGAACGAAAAAAACAAACTATCAAAATTGACATGGACCCTTAATGTTACTGACAATGTTTGTGCACTTAACAAAATCAGGTTGTAGCGTTAGGTTCTCATATACAAACAATGGCAAATAATGTATAAAATGAGTTTTAATAAGAGAAACACAACTAAGTTACACTACAAATCACACGAGATATATATAAAAGAAATGAAAATATAAACACTTAAGAAAGTAAAAAATGGAAAAATGGAAACACAAGGGAAATTACATGTACTAGCACATTTTCAACCCTCAGAGACAACCTCAGGAAAAACACTCTTGTGTCTAAAATTTAGTGGAACACTTGCATTCAAATGTTTTGGTGTTGATTGGACGTGAGCGCGTGGTCGTCGGGAAGCGGGAGGCACAGATTCTTTGTTCTACCCACGTGGGATTGTTTTGCGGGAGATCAAACGCATCCTGGGCAGTTCTATGGTGCGTGAAGGTCGTCTAGTTGTCGGAGGACACGCGTTCTAGAACTTTAACTGGCTATTCGCAAAAGTAAAACGTGAAGTAAAAATAAAACAAAGACTGATAACTTTAAGAAACTTCAGGAGATGCAGGAAGACGAGGGAGAGGGTCCAAGGATGTCAGAAGACCAGGAGTACACACGGGAGGAGGAGACAAAGTAAGAGAGACGAATGTTCTGTGGCGTGGGTTTTTCAAGGTTACTTCGGGACTATCCCCAAAACTGTGACAACCAATGACCATCGTCCAACTCAAGGAACGCGTACGCCCACTTGATTAACATACCACGTTAGGGTTAGTTCACCCAAAAATGAAAATTCTGTCAGTATTTACTCACCCTCATGTTGTTCCAAACCTCTATGTGTTTATTTGTTCTGCTGAACACAAAGGAAGATATTTGGAAGAATGTTTTAATCAAACAGATGTCATTCCCCATTGACTACCATAGTATGTATGGCAATCAATGAGTAATGAGATCTGCTTTGTCGTGCGTTGTTTGTCGTGCATTGTTTGTGCAGTGTACAGTGTAA